GAACCCGCGTCCCCTGCATCGGCAGGCAGACTCTGAAACACTGCGCCACCAGGGAAGCCCAAGCAAAACATTTTGATGGACCATTTTGGAAAGATAATCCTTAGAACACAGCCAGAAAAAGAGGTAAACAAATTCTCTGTATAAAAAATGAAATGGACTTATGAAGGTTGTGTGTAAAAAGAAAGAATATGAAAGAAGGGTGTTGGGGCAGAATTACATGGTGGAAAGTTGGAGGCCAAATGGAAGAGACAACCCACAAAAATTTCCTACTGGAGGGTGTAGGGAGAATGACCAAGGTAGTAATAGGAATGCCTATTATTGAAGTTTAAATTTTCAATTATCTGCTAGGCTGGGTGTGATGTAATCTTTCCATCCTCCATGAATTATCAGTAAATGTCTACTAAGTGCTATGTCCTGGAGTGAGCTTTTGGAAAGCAAGGCAGAGGAATTGTTAAGATAAGGGAACACTGGCAAGTGATGAGGCAATGCATGAGTTGTGGTTTCAGCCAAAGCAGGAAATCAAGCCAGAAACAACTAGATGAAACATAAATCCTTTCTGATAACCTGAGAGACACCAGGTTTCTAATTTCATAAGGATTGTAAGTTTGAACACGTTATTTTAATTTGAGTAGGAATGATGATGCAGACTGACAAAGGGTATTTCCTTGGGATTCTTGGTGCCATGTCTTGCCTGCCTCAGCTGTACCCAAGTTTCTTCTAAAGGGCCTATGCATCCTGCTAGTTCATAGATTTCAGGATGCAGCAGGACTGAGCCATATGTGCCCTGTTTCCCCAAGTGACCCTTCCATTTGCGGTTTTGATACTTGGTTCTGCCTTTCAATTCCCCACCTCAAGGACCAGAACCCAGCTCTGAACCCTAGAGGGGTTGCTGGGAGACTTGACTCTATCACCTAATATTTGCCAGCTTCTTCTGCTAAGGTTGTTGTCCTTTTCTGCTCTCCTAAGTATACCTGAACCACTATTATTGCCTCTCCCCAAACTCAGGTTACAGAGCCTTCCAAGATAGAGTCTGCATGCACCTGGGCTCTTTTAGTCTCCTTATGTGGATCAATGTTCTTGACTTGAAAACCAGCAGTGGCCTTCTGTTACCCATTAGGTAAAATCCCAGCTCCTTATTAGGACATATTAGCCCTTTCATAACCTGTTCCAGTGTCTTTTTCCAGTACTCCCCATTCAATGTTCTCAACAAGCACTCATCAGAATATTCCTTTTTCTCCCAGTGAGTAGACCTGGCCATGTTTTTTTATGGCTGTTTGGACCAAGGGTAGAGGCTTGAACCAAGAAATGGGACCAACCAGAGTGCCTTTCTCAGCATTTAAACTTGGCTTGAAGAAGGACATTCCAACCTTTGCAATGCCTGTTAATATAAGGTCTTCACAGAACAGAGCACGTGATTTGGATTGTGTAACTATTTCAATTAATACATTAAGAAAAACTAAAAAAGGTGCCTTGGCTCAGAACTCTTTTTCTCACCAAAAGTAATTATGAAATTTTAACTTGTTATTTATACCACAATGTTCAAAATTATAATGACTACATATGACATAGTTCACATAAGTAGTGAAATTAGTTGATCTCCATGATATTCGAACAGAGACCTGGAAGTTCAAATCTAAGGAACTGATCTGGTTTCAAGTCATCTTTAATAGTGAACCATTCTATACAAGGTCAGTGTCTGCTGGGTGGCCGGTGATTACTAGAGAAAAATCTAAATAGTCTAAAATACAGTTGAGGAGTGGAAGATGCCTTTAATATTTAGGACTCTAAATTACCTCACAGACCGCCAGCGAAAGGCACGTGTCTTCTGAATTTGACCAATTCTATATGACAGCTTATTTTCTTTCTTTTTTTAAATGTCTGCTATTGATATTTATTAATATTGTAATTATTTGCCCCGGGCTGGGCCACTCCAGCACCCATCACAGGGCCCGCCCCTTGTTTTGCTCAGCACCCTCCCATTGGTTGAGCCTTAGCAGTAATGATAGCTTATTTTCTACTCTGATCATAAAATTTTAACTTCTTGAGGCATGGATTGAACTACTTCTAATGCTCTTCTCAGCAAAAGTACCTGGTTACAAATAAGAACTTCATTAGCTTTTAGCCTTTAATGACTATTACTTAAAATTTAACACAGAGTCATTAATCTCCCTCAAACCACCAATCTTAAAGTATATATGTTGTCCATGCTTCCAATTTTTGTGGCACTCTGATTTTGAGGTTTTCAAGACAGTAGACAAATAGATTTCAAAAATCATCATGAGATCACCATGAAGAATGGGAAGAACAGTCTCTTAATTTCATGCATTAGGACAGGCATATATGGGAAGCAACTTCCAATCTTCTTTTAGATTCTACCCAGTTGTTAGTGTCATTTCAATGTGTGAGATAACTTTCTATTTTCTCCTTCTAAGAAATGAATATATAACCTATTATTTAAGATTAGAGTTAGAAATGGATTTAGGGCAGCACCAAGTACTAATCCTTCATGTTCTACCATTTTCTATTCACACTACATTTTTGCCCGGTACATAGTTGTGACTATAGAATAGGAAAACTGACCAGAAGGCAGGCTTAAGATTCTGGTTATAAAGTTCTGATCATGTCACCTATAGAAGTTTAAGAAATACAAGTTAATATGGGAAAAATTTTCAAGAATCAGTGGCATTGAAGAAGATAAGAGCACGCAGAAGACCGCTACAGTACTGCAGAGGTTCCAGTGGCTCACTTCTACTTAACCAGCTCTCTATTTCCTCTGTAAAATATACTGACCAATGCCCACAACACACTGAATGTTCGCAGCTAGTTAATGACTCTCAACTGTGCACATCTGTTCCCACTAGAGAGAAGTCCCAGGAGAGAGTCCCAAACAGGTTTATACCAGTTGTACTTATTATTGTAATTACATAATTTAATTAAATATTATGTAAACTGATGAAATATGAGAGCAAAAAGGAAGACAGTTGCTTTGGGGAACACTTCTTTTGAAGAGAAGATAAATTCTACTAAATCTGAACTGAATAAAGGGTTTTCTCTGAAGATGGGGTAGGTCTGGATGAATTCTCAAGGCTTTTTCCAAATCTATCGTAATAGATATTTCTTGGTTTTTAAATTTTGTTTCCTTTTGGATTTAGTCCCAAGTTCTATTTCATACGATAACAGCTGCCAATTACCATTTCCTGAGCACTTACTATGTGCCAGGCACTGTGTACAGTGGTTTGTTTGCATTATCTCATTTGATAAACACAGTAATGACTATTAATTATTGAACAATGACCTTATGTGCTTGGCCTTTTGTTGAGCAAATTATCAATATTACCCACTTAATTCTTACAATACACAGATTTTTAGATATGGAAACTAAAACACAGAAGGAATGGGAACTTTGTCTACACGTACGCAACTGATAAGTAAAAGAGCTGGGATTGAAACTCAGCTCTACGTAACTTCAAAACCTTATCTCTTGTGACTACACTATACTACTTCCACATATAGGTTCTTTAAGGAGCTGCCTTATTTATTTTTGTAGCCTCAGTGCCTAGTTCAGGTCCTATCTCACTGTAGGGACTCATTAGTGTTACATGGATGAAGGAATGCATGCATGGATGGGTATTACTTCAGTTTTGCTTGCTAGGCCTTGATGTCACTTTGCCAGAGAGCATGGAAGAAAGACAGGCAACCTTTCTTAGTCATAGACAACAGTGCTGCTTAATGTGACTTAGCCTCCATGTACGTCTCTCATTGATTGAAATACTATTATATTCAGATATAGGATAGTTGTGTTGGGGAAATAAGAGGTTGTAGTTACAATTTACTGTTGTGGACAAGTGGATTCTTTTTTTTTTGTCTTCTATGCATCTTTTTTCTTCCTTTTGGGGGAAACCTCTCGCCCACTCCCAGTCTCTGTGGTGTGAGTGGAGTTGACCCAGTCCCTGCCTCCAGGGTTGGGCTTATGTCCCAAGTCCAACTAATGAGAACCATTCATTCCTCTGCCACAGTGAACGGATCAGGAACAAATACGGAATAAATATGGGATCGAAGCCAGGCCAAGGAGAATTGTTCCTGGGAATTTTCTATTCCCACCGCAAAAGAGAAACATACTTGCCCCTGAGGATGCTAGGCTGATACGATACAATACTGCTGCTGCCATCTTGCTGCCAGGAGGAAGGATTTCAAGCGAAAACGAAGCTAACCCAAAGATGAGCAGAGATTAGAGATGGAAAGAGGCAAAATTCCCGGCAAGATACTTTGGCACTTGGATCTAGTCATGCCCAAAGTCATATCTAATCCTGGAACTTTAAGTAAAGTAATCCAATAAATTCTCTTTTATACCTAAACAGTTTGAGTTGGCCTTTGTCACTTGCACCGAACTTTAGCATGTCTTAAGAATTTATAGAAGCCTAAGAAATGTTTTCAGAGTGCGTAACTGGGATCAAATGGATTGATCCGGAAACCATGGCTTGCAAATGTTTAGAGGAGAAAAAGGAATTACACTTAAAGCAAAGCAAAGAAAAAAAATTAAACACAAAGCTGAATCTAATATCTGGCTCTAATATCTTAGCTCTAGCTAGTGTTTTAACTTTGGTGCTTAGTAACACTCTCTTGTTCTTTGATTTAAAAGAAGACTAGCTAATCTGCTAAGTAAAATGGCTTCATACATAACATTGCAAGATCTGAATTTCTTGGAAGTCTTCAGAACAAGTCAGAATATTCAGGGGGAATACCCCCACCATGTTTTCAAATGAATTCTTTAATTCAAGACTTCTTCAAGCAGCGTTTTCTTCCAGCTCACTTGCAAAACACACACTTGTGTATACACAACCATGCAGAAACAGAAATCCATTCAGGTACAATCTAACTTGCAATCAAGAACTACTAAAATAGGACCTTATCATCAGCACAGCACATCCCAAAATGTCTTTGTAAAATAAATCAAATTATATGAGTTAATTGATTCCAGGCAACATCAGCAAGTGCAGGTGGAGACTGAATAGCAGGATGTTTATTAATGAAGTACTATTAATCAAAATTGACAATACCAATTCCTGTTTGTTGTATCTGAAAGCTACCTTCAGTGGTTATAGATACATTTGTTGAGTTTTAAAACACAGCTTTGAAAAGGAAGAAAAAAGGGTATAGTAACACATGGGATTTTTAGCTTTGGATTTTGGACTACTGATATTTAAACACAGGAAAGATATTCCTAAATGCAATTTGACAAGCAATGCCAAAGATGCCAGTGGTAATTAATTAGCACTTAATTGAGACCACAGAACAACAGGACATAGGAATTGGTACTCAGTGCCATTTCCCCCTTAGGCTCCATCTCATGAGGGTCAGGAGTGTGGCTGCACGCTGAAGGTCAGGAAGTAAATTGAGAGAACACATCGACGCTGGACATTTCTTGATGGATCTCCTTCACCCTTTGCTGCTGCTCCCGGCCATCTCTGATGAGAAAACGACTGTGATTGTTTGAAGGGGAAGTCATTGTTCACGCACATCTAAACCAAGGTAAGCGCTGCCCTCACATCCTAGACTAGTTAGGCTGGACACTTCACAAAACGATAAAGCTCATGAATCAAATGTTAACATGAATGAGGGTAGGTCAACATAAATGCAAATTAAATTTAGAGTGAACATTTATTTGAAGTTGCTGGCTTTGTTAGTTTATATTCAATTTTTGTAGAAATAAATTTAGACCAGGGTTTTTTATAGTTTGGACTTCTATGATGCATGTTAAAGGCTTAAAAGACTTTTGGAAATTCAATCTAAGACATCATACATACTCCAATTCCTCTTCAAACATTGACCCTCTATCTTAATAGATAGGAGTCAACATTCTTTAACAGAGAGGAAAGAACATTCTTGCTTCATTATTCCATGGACCGAACAAATGAAAAAAAAAAAAGGAAATTAATTCTAGTCTCTGAATAAATCTAGAGGCAATTTCTGATTGAAAGTTTATGGTAGCTTGTCATATAACACATGAATTGGGAAATAGGTTTGTTAAATTTGCCACAATATTTTCTGAAAAATTAAGTTGGGTCAGTTTTTATTTTTCCATCTTATAGTTGAAATCAGTAACTGAAGGTATAGTTCATTGATGTAACTGGGAAGCGATATCTGGGCTCTTGAGTAACAGACCCTCGATCCACACAGATTATGTTACTTTTGAAGGGTCTTCACTGTCCAAAAGGAGCTTGAATAAAGCACAAATGTCATACATACATCTGGAAGGAGACTCTTCAGGAATCTGCTTTACTTGGTCACACATGCCTGCAGTTAAAACCAACCAGATACCCTTCCTTTCAACACTCCTAGGAAGGGCTTGACTCTGATTCTTTGGAGGTCCTTGAGAATTTGTAGTAGACAATGACATCCACTGACAGAGCAGACGGCAATGACAATTTGGTAAGAAATACTTACTCCTTTTCCCCAGCTGAGTTCCTTTCCATGGTTCATTCACGGAACTAAGTTGGTTCCCATGAGAGTCGCCTCAACATCACTGCTCTTTAAAAACAACTGGAAAAATCTGGACAAGGGATTTCTTTCTGAGAATTGAGATACTCATGTGATATGACTGGAGTAGGTCAGTGGTTCCCAGCCTCCCTTATCATTAGAAAACACAACTAAGGGTTGGATGGCAACAGAGAGAAATACCATCTGGTAGCCTCAGAATTTGCAATCAAATAAGCTTCTCTTTATTGTCTTGATATTCATTTAGCTAAAAACTTTGAGAAAACCATAACTTTCAGTCTTAGTCAACCTTCCCCTCTGTGTTTTAAAATATCAGTTTGCAAACGTTATGGTATTTGAGGATAAAATCATTTTCAAACCCAGAGATCTTTGTACTGTTTAGTGGGATTAAAAAAAAAAATCTATGAAAATCCCATATCTCTTCCGTTGGCCTTTAAACTTTTCTGATTTTAATACGGATAAGCTGCATCTTTAAATACCTTCTAGAACGCCACACATTTCAAATCTTCCCTAAAACACAACGTCACAATTATAGTCCTATGATTCAATGAAGTAATACGTGAGGCCTGAGCCACCCACTTCTATGCAGTGAACATTTCTGAACTTGTTCTGTAAATTGGAGCACCAATTTTATTTTGTTAATTAATTTCATTTTCATTATGTATTAAACTGATGTATACTTCCACCTTATAAATGTATTTTACTGTATAAAAATACATTACATATAAAAGGTTAAAATACGTTTAAAATGAGTGAGAGGGGCTTCCCTGGTGGCGCAGTGGTTAAGAGTCCGCCTGTCGATGCAGGGGACACGGGTTCGTGCCCCGGTCCGGGAAGATCCCACATGCCGCGGAGCGGCTGGGCCCGTGAGCCATGGCCGCTGAGCCTGCGCATCTGGAGCCTGTGCTCCGCAACGGGAGAGGCCACAAGAGTGAGAGGCCCGCGTACCACAAAAAAAAAAATAATAATAAAAATAAATAAATAAATAAAATAAAATGAGTGAGAAAATAAGGGCAAAGGGAAAATAAGGGGTTAGTAGAATATTTAAGGTGCATACTGTAAAGTTACAAATGCTTGCCAAGTTTGACTCGAGGCTTGTCATTCCCTGTGAGTCATATCACTTCCAGGTAGTCTGCCAGTGATCAACTTAACTGTTAACTTCTGAGAACATTTCTGCTTTTCTTGTGCTGTCTATGTGACCATGTCTGTTCAGAGGCACCAGAGATTCTGAATTTCTTCTTTTCTTTTTTCAAGTCAGATTGGAGCAGGGAACAGTTCCCATATTAGCTTGTCCATTCATACAAATATTTAGTGACTTTTATGTGCGGGTTACTCTGAGAAGGGAAGCAGTTTTGCATAGAAGTTAGCTTTGGATTCAGAAAAACTTGCATTCAAATACTGACCCCACTACTTTTTAGTTGGGTGGTCTAAGAAAAACACGTGGTTCCTCTGGATGCTAGATTTTTGGCTACATAAATGGACAGTAATACCTCCTTTACATGGTTGCTGAATTGAGAGGATGTATTTCTAAATATTCAGGAGAGTATGGGACACCTGGTTGATGCTCAGTAAACTATGTCTCTTCATGCTAGGTATTCTCAAGAACCAGAAAAGAATAAGAATAACTTCTGCTCTACATTCACTATGCTTGTATGTATGTGTCAAGCTCCCCTTCACAGCTATGCCTAAGGAGGGCTATGAGTTGAGTAGGGAAAGATCTCCTCAGATGGGGTCAGATCTGTGATCAAGCCAATCTGAATATAGCTGGACACTGAGCCAGATGCTTCAAAGAAGTGGTAGCATCTGGGATGAGCAGAGAGCATAGAGAGGAGTCTGGGAAGGAGGAGAAGAATGTGGGCCAAGCCTTGCAGAGGGGGATGCGGGAGGTATGGGTGGAGCTGACGAGAAAATTCATTCATCTGAAGAAGTGACACATTCGTTCACGGAAGTAATGGTTAGAATTCCAGGTAGAGCTAAGACAGTGAGAAAGTACTGACAATTTTATAGAAGAGGGACCTCTGTGATGAAATTACCTTCATCAGAAATTGAAAATCTAAGAACGTTAACTTCAAGAACCATCTAGAATAATTAGCCAGTTGGAGGTCAAGTGCCTTCGACATAGCTTATTTCCATTTTCCTTTTACCACTAAAGTCAGCCTGGGTTATAGGACCTGCAAACCGGCTAGATGACCTGGGAAAGCACAGGTTTGCTCATCTTTGCAATGAGAGCCTTGGCCAGCTTCCCTTCTGGCACTGACACCTCAAAAACCTATAAGCCATTTCACTCTTGAAAATGAGAATAAAGGTCAGATGCTTGCTATTGCTGCTGTACCTCGACTTGCCTTTTGGACGCCTCTGTTTAAACTTCCAGATGTCTGCAAGAAATCCTCTGCATGCTGAGTCATTTAAATTTTTGAAAAGGTCTTCTTCTTCCTCTTTTTTTTTTTTTTTTTTTTTTTCAAGGAGTGGCCTAGGTGTTGACTGGACTGAAATTCCACAGAACTAAAGACAAAATCAACTCCTTTCCCCACCCCCCAAAACAAAAACCTTCCATATGTGTCTCTCTGTGAAGCCACTTTACTATTTCTTGATTTTAAACTCAACAGTTACATTTTTAAAGAGACATCACACTTTGGAATATAAACGTGTGAAATCTAAATACAAAATATAATAAAGCAGCTTGAGCCAAGCCACAATTTGAACTTTGTTGTTGTTTTAATTTAGGGTCGTCAAGCACTTTTGAACTTGTTTCTAGCTGTGCTACTATTCTTTGGTGGGTTTCGAGATGAGGCCAGCCACCTTCCAGGGGCTTAATTCGCTCACTTTTGGAAGATGCCCCATATTTTCCTCTGCTTTGCAGCATCTTTCCTCTGAGAGGCTGGGGATACTGAAGCCTCAAAATAGCCCAATACAGAAGGGTATATAGTCTTTCTGCATTACTGATTTGAGATGGTGAAAGACAAATATTGCATACTTTTCTCTAAGCACAGGAAATGCCCTTTTGTGATTCACTCCCCATGTAGACTGAGAAAGACATGATTACAGTGTGTGTTTAGGCCCTTTCTAAGCTCTCTGCCTGGGGATAATGCAGGACTGCTGAGGGTGGTGGCTGCCACCAAGCACAGAGGACCCAAGAAACATTCTCCTCACTTTGGCTACATTGTGGCAGCCCTTATTGTCTGAATTCCTACCTTAGTGTATCCCCAATTGTGTTACTAATGACATTCTTATGGTACAACAATCTCCCTAAAGAAGTTCTCTATACCTGGGGGTGTTTATCTTCTTGGAAAGCCTTTCATTAGAATAGATAGTAATCTGACGTTCCTCTACCTCCCTGACTCTTGCCTCTTCTGATATTTTAAATCCAATTACTGACCTCTATTTTTACCTTCAGGCTTCCTCAGAGGCCCCACCCCACATTCTAGAACACCTCATAGTTTATGACTTCTCCCTCTCATTATAACAAAAATTCCTGAACTCATACTTATTTCAGAAAACTTTTGCTGGCTAAATTCAAGACCAGTCAAGATAACTTTCAACATATACTTTCTACAAATGCTTTGGTCACGCCGATTTAAAGCAATCTAAATCCTTATTTCATTAGATTTTTTACTCTGCGTCTGGACTATCTCTTCTTTGCTGTGATCTGTCTTAGCTTATAACTTTATTGATGAAACAGGATGTGCCAAACACACTTTTAGACTGCTTTGCAGAGTGCTATGAAAATGTGTTGTTCATTTATCTCACAAACATTTATTGAGCACCTACTATGTGCCAGCCACTGGACCAGGTTCTAGCATTACAGGAATGGACAGCATATATTCACCATCTTGGAAGGCACGTAAAGCAGAAGAGTCGTTTCAGTAGGAGAAGGCAGACTATGCAATAACAATAAAAAGTCAGAAAACAAAAATGAGGTGGATCAGGCAACAGCCCTGTTGGAAAATGTGGGTGGCCAGTGAAAGTTTCTCCAGGGCCTTTTAACTTGATGAAAGACTGTATTAAATTGAATGTCAAGCAGATTTGACCTAGGAAATAATGACCAGTGAACAATATGCAGAGCATGATTGATTTCTATTTCCTGCATCACTTAATAACCCTTTAAAAGTGTTATTGTAGTTGTCCTTGATTAGGGCAATTCATTTCCATTTTCTGAATTTCAGGTCCAAAACTATGTGTTTGCTTTCTTGCTTTTTTCTTGGTGTGGTTCTTAGTTTATTAGAGCAATGCTATGGAACGGCTCGTTTCTAAATTTCTTCAGCTATATAAGTGGCAGGGTAACAGATAAGTTTCCTTTCTCTCTCTCTCTTTTTTCCTAAATATGCACACACATACAAACACCCACCTTCAGATTTTTTACTGGCACATCAAGGGGAAAACTTGAGCGTCAGTTTAAGGCTGTGTAACTGAGACCATAGCTCTGTGGCTTTGACTGCACTTCCCAGTGCCGAGTAGACTGCTGGGATTCCACAAATAAATAATAAAAATAATAATGATTTTTAAAGCATTTGGAAATGCTGAGTTGAAAGGTGTGGTGTAAGTGCAATGTTTTATTGTGAAAGTGATATCTCTTGCATTATCTTTTCCTAATGGAGGGTGGAAGTAATGGAGGCGGAGGCACTTATGCCTCCAGACCAGGCGTCCCTGAAGGCGGGGTGGAGCTCAGGCAGGCACTGTGGTAACACTTACTGTACTCGGTAACTGCTTCCTTCCAGTCTAGCAAGAAGGTATAAGAAGAGTCACGCTGCTGCTCGTTCTCCTAAACCTTAGAAAGTCATCCTTGTTTCTTACTGATGGAAGAAGTGAATGAGAATCATACTGGAAAAATACCACAGATTTAATTTATTTATTATTATTATTTTTAATATATTTATATTTATTTTTGGCTGTGTTGGGTCTTCGTTGCTGTGTGCGGGTTTTCTCTAGTTGTGGCGAGCGGGGGCTACTCTTCGTTGCGGTACGCGGGCTTCTCATTGCGGTGGCTTCTCTTGTTGCAGAGCACAGGCCCTAGGCGCGCGGGCTTCAGTAGTTGTGGCACGAGGGCTACAGTAGTTG